CGTGCGTGCCCAAGATCCCAAGAGGAGAATGGAGGAGAAGGGATTGTGGCGTGACCATCCCCCTTGGGGGGTGATTTCTCGCTTTCTGTCTCTGTCTCTGTCTGGCGAGCGCACGTGCCCTGTAGCAAAAACCTCTCAAAAAAAAAAAAATTATTTAACTTTATTTTATTTTGACCAGAGAGAGACAGGTTGAGAGGAGGGAAAGTGAGAGAGCAAGCTGCCAGATCTGGGACTCAAACCGCAGTGGGTCACATGGGAGTCCAGCGCCCTCAACCACCACACCACCTGCTGGCCCCACCTGCATCTCCTTTAACACTACTAAGAAAAATAAATAAGGGGTCAGCAGGTGGCATGATGGTTAGGGTGCTGGATTTCCACATGGCCGACAGAGGTTTCAAGTCCCAGGATGAAAACTACAACAAAAAAATAAACAAATAAATCTTTAAAAAGGAAAGAAAGAAAAGAAAAAGAAGGGGGAAAAAAACCACAGTGGCATATTCTATATGTGATTTCAAAAGATTAGATACCTTTTTTTTTTTTTAAATGGGAAGCGGATAAATTCCTCTAGACACCTCAGCTGGGGACAAAGATGAGACACACTGGACAGGTGGCCTCCCAAGGCTGCGTTGCCTCGGTCCCACCGCCTGATGCCTCCCTGCCCCAGCAAGGTCGGAGGAAGCAAGGCTACTACCTCCCCATGAACGGAAGGCTCTGTCTCATGGGCCAGGTTAACCAAACACAATGAACATCGCCTTCATTAACACCTTCCTCCTCCCTGCGATCGAAAGCACCAGAAAACATTCTATCGATCAGTCTGCAAGAAACAAAAGGGCTACTTGGGTTTAAACGGTCACCTTCAGTACATTCCAGAAGACGTAGGATGGGTGTGACTTGGCATTCCTTCCAGGCAGCTCCTTCAACAACGCTGCAGTGCCAACATCACATGAACGTCAAAAGGAGGCGGTTTTAAGTTTAAGAGGAGATGAAAAACACACCACACCACTTCCTGAGAGTGGATGAGCCAAGAACCGGCCATGCAGCAGAGACACAGTTTCAAAACCAAACCAAAGAAAAATAGGCACGCTTTTCACCTGCCAAATAACCCTGTTACCAAATACACTGAACTCAGCTCTGAACACCAACTCAGACCTTAACAGAGCCTACAGCAAGGACATCAACCCCAGGGCACTGGTTATCAACGATTTCTCTTGATCAGAGCTTTGAACCTACAAGACGTGAGACTTAAAATCTAGTTCTCCTCCCTACAAGGAAGACTGAGCCTCAATTAAGCAATGTGGCTACTGCAGATTATAGCTATGGCTTATTCAGTTTCCAAGTCCTCGTTATACTCCTGACAGATGATTATAGATGATGCAAATTCTTCTACAATTTCCATTCAAGGAGGGTTAACTTTTTTTGAGAGAGATTTTGACAGGGTCGCACCAGGCTGTGGTCCTCCTGCCCAGCCTCCCAATTAGCTAGGACTACAGGCATGCCTCACCTCACCCAGCTTATCAGGTAGGCCAGGAATCAAACCTGGCTCTCCCATGTGGCCTCAGCCTCTGAGGAGCAGCATTGGAGCAGCATATGCCACCATGGCAGAACCCACCTTTTTTACAGATTGGTAAAAAAAAAAAAAAAAAAAAAATTAGTCAAATACTGACAGTTCCTTACAGCTCAGCCTAATAATTCAGGTCAACCTTTGCAGTCTGCAGTTCGAAGGCAGCCTTCAAGATATTTGGAGAGAGTCCAGCAGGTAATCTAGTGGTTAAGGCACTAGACTCCCACATGGTCAACTGTGGTTCAAGTTCCAGATCCAGTGGCTTGAATCTCACACTGGGCACGCGCGTGTGAGCATGCTCAAAATCCCAAGAGAAGAGTGGAGGAGAACGGATTGCAGCGTAGCACCCCCCCCTGACCCCACGGGGAGGTGATTTCTTGATTTCTGTCTCCATCTCTCCAGTGAGTCCCTATGCCCTATAGCAAAAATCTCTCCAAAAAGATATTTGGAGAGTGGAAATATGAGAAAATTTACCAGCACATGACGAAGGAAAGCCACATGAATATGCTCAAATGATCTACCAGTACTGAGTCAACGAACACCTGTCATCGCAGGTAAACTGAGGAAGACGGGATGGCGCCGCAAGCTATACTCCGTGAGGGCTGAGTGCCAAGAAGGCCAGACTGCCTGTCTAACTCGTCCACAGAGGGCCAGAACAAGCCAGTGGGTGGCGGCAGTCTCGTAGGACCAGCACGCTTGTACATACCTGGGGGACACCCAGCCAGTCGTCGGCCTGCTGCATGGCCTCTCGGGCATTGTCCACTGGCTTCCGTGGGTCCCAGGATTCCCAGTCTGGGCAGAGACCTGTGAACATAACACAGAAGATGCTGTTTGTATTAAGCTGGAGGAGATGAATGGAAGCCACGTGTGTAAGGTGAGCCCACTTGTCTTTTAATTCAGAGAACAATTCATTCTCAAACTGTCATACTTTATGGGCAAAATGATCACAGATCTGAGTGTCCCAGGTGAAAACTACCTACATTAGTTGAGACTTCTCCTTTAGGTTATTATCTTCTCACATTAAAATAGAGGTTATCATGGCCAGCAGGTGGTGTGGTGGTTAAGGCGCTGGATTCCCACATGGCCAACTGTAGTTCAAGTCCCAGATCTGCCAGCTTGCTTTCTCACTTTCCCTTTCATTCTCTCTCTCATCTCTCTGGTCAAATTGAAAAATGATTATTTTTAAAAATCAAATAAATAATTCTTCTAAAAAACAGATATTATCTACTCCTGGAAGACATGATATAAACAAAGTCTTTAAAATTATTTCGGCCTGATGCCTTTTGTAAAAGAAAACATCTTCTCACCCTATTTCCAGACATATCTAGAAAGATTGGACTAACACCTGATGTGATTCAAACATCAACATGTTCACCATCATAGACGTAGAGTTATCATAAAATCCTTCCTAAGCACAAGTGTGAAAGGAAAGAAAAACCTCCAGGTTTAAACTCAACATAGGTATTACAAAATGTGTCTAACATAGACTTATGGAAGAAGACACTGGGATTTGAACTAATGCGGCATTTTGAAAGATTCCTGGGTGACATCACACTATAGACTCTCCATGAAGAATGAAGCATTGAGTCAGCCCTCCTTCCTACCCAACTGACATGAGTCCTGCTTTGAGTGAGCTGAGAACCACTAACTAACTAACTAACTAACTAACTAACTAACTAACTAACTAAATACTAATGTGTCCATCTCATACAGAGCACTTGGAAAATGGGAAATGCAATGATTAGAGTGCTGGCTTTTTTTTTTTTTTTTTTTTAATTGAAAACTACTCTGGGGTGTGTGTGTAGAAACACAGGCTCTGGTTTTGCTACTGAGCATTTGGCAATAAACTCTACCCATAGTCTCAACCCGCCATCGAGGATAATCACAGCCTTGGTGTACACTCCACCACTAGAAAACAAGAACCCTTCAAGGGTAGAAGAGACGCCACTGGATCCCCACCAACACAGAGGGAATAGGGCAAACGAGCCATATATAGTCAAACCAGTGGTTAATAAAAATGGGCACTTTCCACTCAATGGAAGTGTATGGATTATCATGCCAAGCCACCGAACAGGGCCACGTGCTTCTGCCAAAGCCAGCAGGAAACAAGGCACCATGTGGGCAGACACAGGCCTCTGGAGTCTACACGCTAAACCCACGGTCTGCACCAAGCACAGAGGGCTTCGCTGGGAACTTGAATTTTGACGGCAGTCAATGGTCAAACATGACTGCGGATCCACCTGGAAGGCCTGCCATTTGAAAGGTAAACAGAACCACTTCCAGTTCTATTAGCTGTCTAACAAAGGACTAAATCAGGAGAAACATGCTAACCACAGCCAAGTTAGCTTTCCGACTGAAAGCTAAGAAGTTTAGGCTTCACACACCACCATCCCAAAGAGACGGTTTAGGCAGCGAGCCCTTACCTGGAGCACAGCTGTCCACCAGGGCACCCAGGGCTTTGCCATCTTGCCAGTTCTGGTTAAAGTTGGTGATGGGCAAGTAAGGGATCTTGTTCTGAATCCATCCCAGCAGCCTCTGCTTTGGTGTCTGCTTCTTAGCATCATCATCGCCCTCGTCCTCCCACACGGGCATGGAGATGGAATAGTGGAGGATAAGCGTCCACACCAGGCCCAGGATGAGCTTCAGGTTCCCATCCACGATGGCTTTGCTGTCTGGAGAGAAGCATTGGCTTGGTCATTGCTTGGGTTACCCAAGTGGGAATCATGCTTTGTTTAAAAAAAAAAAAAAGAATTTCTAAAGAATTTTTTTAACTTTTTTATTCATTTATTTATTTGAATTTGACCAGAAAAAGACAGTGAGAGAGCGAAAGAGAGAGAGAGAGATAGAAAGTGAGAAAGCAAACCACCAGGTCCAGGACTTGAACCAGGTCAGCCATGTGGGAGTCCGGCACCCTGAACCACCACGCCACCTGCCAGCTCCCCCAAGGTTTTTGTTTGTTTGTTTGTTTGTTTTTGTTTTTTTTAAGTGAAGGGTCAGCCCCATAGTGCAACAGTTAAGTCCTATGCATAGAGAACCAGATACTACACGGCAGACTGTTGTTTGAATCCTGGCCTTGGCAGTTTGAAAAACATACCAGTCATGTGTATGTTTTTGCCCCAAATAGGGTGAAGAAATAGAAGAGATGGTGGTGTGACCATAGCCCATGGGAGAACATTTTCTCCCTCTCCTTCTCTGTCTATCTCTGTGGAGAGTGCACATGCCCTGTGGTGATTTAAAAAGGAAAGAGGAGGGAAGCCACTAGCACCTGCTAACACGGTCTGCAGTCTACCAAGTGGTTTGTGTTCGTGTACATGCATCGGCAAGTGTTTGCAGCCCTGAATTTATAGTATTCTATACAATTTTTTTCTTTTTTTTTTTTTTAAGAGATATTTGCTGAAGGGCACATGCACTCACCAGAGAGATAGATAGAAAGCGAGAAATCACCCTCTGTGGGGTGGGGGGGGGAATGGCCATGCTGCAATACCTTCTCCTCCATTCTCCTCTCAGGAGCTTGGGCACACAAGCACATGCGCCTGGTGTGAGTTCACCCTCTGTGGGGTGGGGGGGGAATGGCCATGCTGCAATACCTTCTCCTCCATTCTCCTCTCAGGAGCTTGGGCACACCAGCACATGCGCCTGGTGTGAGTTTAAGCCACCAGGTCTGGAACTTGACCCACCACAGCCATGTGGGAGTCCAGCGACCTAACCATTTATACCATCTCCTGGTCCCTATTCTATACCATCTTAAATTTTTTCTTTTCACTAATCATTATATCCTAAAGATCTTTTCCTTATAAAATATTATTTCTGCTTGTATTCCCAACTATAGATGTAAGAGGCTAGTTTCCCCTTAAATCTCCCTACCACCGGGTGTTACCAATCATTTTCATCTTTGCTACTTCGACAAGTCAGTCAGGCATAATAAGATATTAATAATTAGGCAGGACTGGCTCTGCCTGGTGGTTCAGGCAGTCAGATCTTACATGGTCGCCACTCACATCAAGGGTTTCCAGTTCTGGACACTGCAGCATAAGAAACACACCAGGTAAGCATGCATGAGTGGCCAAAATCCTGGAAAGGATGGTGACCACTCCCCATGGGTGAGGAATGGGAGTGCTTCCCCTCTCCATCTCTCTCTCTCTCTCTCTGTCTCTCTGTCTCTTTGGTGAGTCCATGCCACACCCCTGGCCAGCCCCATCCAGGAATCTCACTGCCATTTGTTTAGTTTCCATTTTCTACTTCCCTTCCCTGGCCTCTCTGCAGCAATCTGTCCCTTTCCAACCTCCATCTGCACCCATCAAGATTGTGTTATGGGGCCAGCAGGTGGTGTGGTGGTTAAGGGTGCTAGACTCCCACATGGCCAACCACGGTTCGAGTCCTGGACCTGGTGGCTTTCTCTCTCTCTCTCTCTCTCTCTCCCACACACACACTCTCTGGTCAAATTAAAATAATAATAAAGTTAAATAATTCTTAAAAAAAAAAAAAGATTCAGATGTTATCTTCAGGACGTGTTTGTGTGGATATGTGTGTGTGTTCCTCTCATGTCCTCCCTCTCTCCACCTCCTCCCCACAAAACACCCTCCGTAGCTGTCCTGCATCTTATGATGACTTCGAGCTGCAAACGTCAGGACTGTCTTGGTCTCCTTCACCCCTGCTGAAGTTTCCAGCCTGTGCCAGGTCTCACCGGACCTAATCTCACAGCTAGGCCCTGCCCCTGCTCTGAGTCTCTGACAGTCATGAAGCTGAGTCACTTGTCACATAATCCAGAACCAGCTTTCCAGTCAGGGACCTCAGTGCTGCCACATCCCCCAGGGTCCCCACCATCCAATCACGTGTTCTCTGTGTTTCCACGTGTATGTTTCACTCCGTCCTCCATGGGGCAGACCCTGGCTCCTCATTCATGCACCAGATCCTACGGTGAGTGGCGCTTCATGGCCACCGATGTGTGACTGTGTCGGGGACCGCTCCCTCAGCACAGGGACTGCTCCTCAGCCTCCCACCCACTCCAGCACTGTCAGCACCCGTTAGGGAGTAACTGAGCCTTCTCCATCCTGGACTCCCCAACCCCGTCTGTCCCACCCACCCACCACGAGCCACCTGAATGCTGGTTAAACAGGAGTCAAATTGCTCTTAATAGAACTCAACACAATCACTTGAAAACATACTCGCATGCTGATAAGGAGCACAGGGCATGCCACTCACGCTGAAAGGCTGCAGGCTTTCCTTTTTAACTAGCCTGGTTACTGTTACAGCCTCTTACATGCAGAGACCCTCTTTAAAAGCCCACACGCAAACCCAACAGAAATGAGATGGAATTTCACAGTTGCTGATTCGGTCGTGATAAAACATCATCATCTAAACTGGACAAAATAAAGGTTTTCATCAACTGGCTGGTGAAGGCAGACCAAATGTAAGCAATCCTCAGTCAAGGTAAGGAACCCAGAAATTTTCTATGTAATGAATCATATCAATTTAACTTTGAAGCAGGATTGCCGGCATAATTCATGGGGCCCAGTGAAAAATAAAAATGTGGGGCTCCCTGCCCAAAAAGTATTAAGAATTTCCAGACAGCAATAGGGGATATTAAACCAAGCACCAGGTCCTTCTGAGCACACAGGTGGTGTGACTGTGAAGCCAGCTTTGGAGGTCCTGCAGTCAGTCAAGCAGCACATCTGCATGAGACCCTGGGCCCTGCACAGAATGTGGATATCCGAGGAATTCACCCCACAAGACTAGCCGTTTCTCCAGTTGGCAGTTCTTAGCCATGGCTGAATGTCTGGGATAAGATGTTCTATTATGAGGCTGTCTTCCAAATGCTATTGGTTAACCAGAACTATGGCTTGAAGAATGATTTGTCCCCGAAGGGTTTATGTATTGGAATTTGTTCCCCAGTGTAATGGAGCCAGGAGGTGGTGAGACCTTTAAGAGGTGAGACTCAGGGCTGGCTCTGTGACACTAGGAATCGGCTGCTCCAGAGAGCTGGATCCCACAAGATGCCCATGGTTCAGATCCCTGGCCCAGTCAGCCTGAAACACTCCTGAATGCACATGAGTGCCCAAGATGCAACCAATAGGCTGGAGGACTGAAGGGAGAAAATCCAGGGTGGCCAGACCCTGTGGAAGGTCTCTCTCTCTCTCTCTCTCTCTCTCTCTCATGTGCATGCATACACACTACCAGTAAAAAAAGGAAAAAAGAAGGGGAAGATTAGTGGACAGTGATTGGATCATGGGGGCACTGCCCTCATGAATGAATTTTGCAGGACTGTCTAAGCGAGTTCTAGCTCTCATGAGAAGGGATAATTCCTGTGAGAGCTGGTTGCTATGAAAGAAAGATGGCTACACCAGGTCTCTTTCTCTCTGTGCACACACTTGCCATCCTCTCTGCTGCTTGTCAACTATATTGTGATAGAGAACCACAATCCAGTCAGATGCCAGCCCCATACCTTTGGACTCTCCAGCAACCGGAATCATAAACCAAATAAACCTATTTTATAAACCATCTAGTCTCAGTTATTTCCATCAGTAACAAAGTAGTGGACTAAGACACCCAGGATCAGAAATTCCAGATGAAACAATTTTCTCTGTTCCCTTTATTCATACAAAGAAGAGTGGTCTTCAAAGATAGGGGCCAAAAAAAAAAAAAAAAGAGAGAGAAAGAGGGAAGAGGGGAAAAAAAAGT